TGTGTGTCCGTACGTTATAGGGAAAACGGGAAGGGAAAGGGAGCTCGGGAAATCACAGGGAAAGGGATAGGGAGTGGTGCAGGTGTGGGAGTGTGTGTGTGGCCCCAAGACATGCCAACACAATACAAAAACAACCAACAATGTAACGAAAACAAGCTAGGGGTAAAAATGTCTTTTCACACGTACGTTTTCGATAATTTCGGGACGGGATGTCACAATAGTACCATTAAGTTTCATACATAGTGTAGTACCGTTAAGTTTCATAAACAGTGGAGTACTGTTAAATTTTATAAACAATGTAGTACTGTTAAGTTTCCTAAACAGTATAGTACTATTAAGTTTCATAAACAGTATAGCATCATTAAGTTTCCTAAACGGTATAGCATCATTAAGTTTCATAATGTAGTACCATTAATTTTTATAAACAATGTAATAAGTTTCATAAGCAGTTTGTGTGAGAACGTGCGTATAGTTTTTTTTTTAAGAAACTTTCATAAAAAGGACTTGGGCTAAGTTTATTTTAACCAAAAATCATAGTATAAAGTGGAGTGTGGAATGGAAGGTGGGTACGCACCCAAGCGCAAGTTGGGTTTTTTAGAGGTTTTTTTTATTATTATTTTGTTCTTAGCATTAAATAAAGTTAGTGGGTGATTTTTTATTAAAATGTAAAGATTTGAAACCATTTTCATTAATATTAAAATTATGTCTTTTTCATTAAAATTTAAATTTTTTGATCTTTTTTTATTAAAATTTAAATTTTTTAATTAAAATTTAAATCTTTTTCTTAAAAAAAGTTATAGCTTGATTTTTTATTAAAATAAATTTAGCTTAAACTCTTTTCATAAAAAAGAGCTTCACAAGCGAGCTTACATTCTCTGATACTACAAAGTAAGTTGACATCCCAAAACCAATTAATTGACAACGAGAAAGGACTAATACTCCAATTCCTTAATTATAGGCCCATCCAAGGTTTTCTTTTTTTTTTTCTTCTTTTTTTTGTTTTTTTTGTTTGACGTTGGACAATTCTTATACTCTCACATACTCCAACACACTCTATTTTTAAATAATAAAAAAATAATCTCTATTTTTAAATAATAATAAAAAATTAATCTCTCTCTTTCTTCTTATATTTCAAGGTTCAGCACATCTCACCTTTTTATTTTTAAATTTGTGCCTGTCAATATATATATATATATATATATATATATATATATATATATATATTTAAGGTTAAAATAGTGGAGTCATGTTTTTTTGGTCACTCATGATCAATAACTTATGATCACCTTCGTTAAGATTGACATCAAAAGTTGAGATCAACATATTCAAAATATATTTATTTATCCTACATTTTTGAAATCAAATCTAATAATAATTGACTATATATTTAGTTACGGTGACCAAGAGAACATTTTTGTAAGTACTCTACGTACTAATGAAGATATGGACTGCGCATGTACAAAATATGATTGTCACTAAATATGCATCGTTCATATACCGATCGACTACAGCTTCTTGATCACTTCAACATATTCTTACAATGTGCTGACAAGAAAATTAGATTAACTTATCTTATGTCTTTCATGGATTCCACATCTATGAATATTGCTTTATTGCTGTTGAGCAATTCTTGTATACGCAGATGCTTACATATTTTATAACCTAGGATCTTAATGAAGATTTGTGTAATCATACTAATTTTGGCATATTTTATTGTTTCCCCCATTGGAAAATTAAAAGTAAATCTCATGAGTAATATAGAGCTCGTTTGGATGTACTTTTAAAATGACTGAAACTGAAAGTCCTTTTGAAGGAAATGTTTTTGGGTTCTAAAAGCACTTGAAGTGCTTTCTACAAAAAGCACCAGTTATGTGTTTCTTCCATGAAGCGTTTTAAGTGCTTTTTCAAAATTTACTTGCATTTTTACAAAGAATTATTTTAAAAATTATTTTCACCAAAAACACTTTCAGTTATTTTAAAAGCACATCCAAATAGGTTCATAATTGACTTAACCTTTTCTAGTGAAATTCCAACTCAACAAAAATATCAAGGACCAAAATTAATTTTATAATAAGCAAGGGCAAATAGACTCCATCACGAACTCATTAATCTTGGAAATGTGATTAGATAGTAAATAATGTTTCTAGAAACTAGTGTATGCCATTCCCTTTCCAACAAAGAAAAAGACAAAGCACAATTTGTTAAATAATTAGGGAGTGAAACCCCACATCATGCCCTAAATTTTATCCTAATCTGCTTAGAATTGACACCCGGCCTTAAATAAAAATAAAAGACAAAGCAAAGGTTAGTAGAATGATAATTAAGGAACCCACATGATCAGATCTTTCTAGCTTTAAGCACGTACATTCTTAGCTGTTAAACAAGTGCGAGATGTTTCACATACTTTCTTTGATTATCCGTACTAAACACGGATTAGTGTTGTCTAGAAATGATTAATCATAGAAATCTGATGTGATATACTGACGAAGAAACATATGAATATTTCGTGCACTTGAGGTTGGTGGCTGTGTTATGAATAGTAACAAATAAAAGCAAAGGAGATTCTGTGGTGCCATATTTGATGAATGACATAGATTGGCCTCTTTTGATTGATGTTCGTCTTTGTTTCAAGGAATTAAAAGTCAAGCACGGCCTGCTCAAAGCCACTCCAATTTCCAAACATTACTTGGCAAAAGGGTTTGTAGTGTTTGTATGGTGCTCGAGATCATGTTGTTCTCACTCTTTTTATCAAAGGGGAGGGGAGATTCGAAACAAATTGCTTTGTGTCAAATCATGTTTACTTATTCTCTTTTTATAAAAATAAATAAATAAATAAATAGAGAGAAATCGAATTTGAGAACGTTTCCAACATTAGAGAAAGATGTCAATTAAAGACTAAGAGCTAGTTCTTATTTAAATTTCAAGTTTTGGATGCAATTGAGGATGCAATCAAAACAAGTTGCAATTGGTGAATTTGCCTATAAGGCTCGTGACCGGGAATGCATCTAAGCGAAATTCATACTTTCCTTCGAATAAGAGAATTATATATTTATGAATAAAAATACATAAACAGATGCCTTATGCAGGGTACAATCTATTTGAGAATGCTTTTATAAACATTATAAACACTAAGATAATAATAAAGTATTTTAAATGCTTTCCGGAACAACTCGTATTATATATTTCTTGAGGAAGTAGTTTTTAGTTTTTTTTTTTTTTTTTGAAAGTGCATCATGCAAACGTACTCAAAGGAAGGTTTCAAAGATTTCTTATCTTATGTTATATTTTTTAATGTTCACTAAGATTTTAAAGAAACTAACAAGCAACGAGTAAAGTTGTAAAGAAATTAACAAGAAACAAATCATTGTTACTCTTGGTGTTCCAGTTATATAAAACATTTACCTAGACTTATGTATTCATCGAATATGAGTTATAATTTGAGCATCACTAATCCAAATGGTGAACCAAGCTTACCAACGTCTAGTAGCCTATGAGTTACAATTTGATACTAGATTAATACTATCACATTATATAATAGTACATATGAGTGAATTTGGAACACCATTATTATGGTCAACACAAAACATTTATGCCTGCATGTGTGTCAGTAACGAATTTATTTTACCTACTAAATTTTTTCAAAATACAAAAAACTTGTAGTTTGTTGGCTTAAAAGCCTTAAATCATTCACGTTATGCCGGTAGTTTGGTTTCAATTCTTCCCTCCCACTATCACTTCAGATTGAAGAATAAACAAATAATAATTAAAACTTCCCCAAAATAGTGTTTATTTGTCTCATAATCGATCATCTTTCTTGTGTACAGATCACCTATTTTCACAACATCAGCCTCACCCACAAAGCAATGTTACAAGTTTACAACATAAGAACTCCATGCTGCGTATGGTCTATAAAGCACGAGAAATTTTTTATTGTGATCGGAATACGAGTGGTCTATCACGTGTTTTTATATAAATAGTGAAATATTTTATTTTTTAAGTTATTAACTTTTTAATATACATATCCCACCATTTGTATAGTGACATATGATGTACAATTTCATATTCTGTTTACATTAAAATATCTTTTCATAAAGCACTATCATTCCAAAAATATAATAGAAAATAATAAAAAGTACCACGTGTCCCCTTGGTGACGTTCCAAAGTCATCAATACCTTGAGAATTATAATGCCCACAAAATCCAAAATGGCATCAACAAATTAATATTTAATTCCTGATTTAGAGTGATTACTTGGAACATTCTCCTTAAGAAGTAAGCAATTCCAACACCTGGTCAAACCACATTGGTCCTCTAGTAATTTTCAAGTTTAAAAATTCCACCACCCACTTAATTGTGATTTAATATTTATCAGGCATGTTTTAGTATGCTAATGAGTTACTAATTCTTCTTGTCCAAGTGCATAATCTCTGTGTACGTGGCCTCAATCCATGGAATTCCTATTTCTCTTCTGTCGCACTTTAGCATCCAATAATTTATTAAACTTATCGTTTTAGATCCTTACTAGAATATGTCACCAAATCCGATAGCATAAGAATAGTAGTATTCACATTCATGTTTACTTTGTACACATTTTTGTTATATTTGATTATTGATCTTCTTTAAATCAAAAGATCCTGATAATCAAAAACTGAGAAAGTATTTAAAAAGTAAAATTGAGTATGGATAACACTACACTAACATAGTTCTAGCTTTCTAAAATGCCCTTGTATAAGCTAAATAATTTTGACCTTCTTGATTGAAGCATTTCAACCACTTGATTGGTATATATTTGGGGTTGATCATGATGTTAAATCATACATCAATGGCGAAGACACTTAAATGTAATCCATCCCTCCTCCCTATACGAAATTTCCTATGTAATTTATAAAATTATAGTGCATAATAATCGTATTAGAGTGCCAAATGAAAACTCTTTTATTGTTAGCTTCCTTTATTTTTATTTTTTTTATTTTTTTTTTTTTTTTATCAAGTATTAGATGTCTAAAGTTCAAATCTCTTCTTTTAGTATCCAAGAAAAATAAATGAATAATAAAGATGATATTTCTGTGAGATCAGATGACTCGTACCTCAAATAGTGCAAAGCATAGGGAAGATTTCGAAAACGACAGCAAATTGACTGATGGAATTACAAAGTGAGGGCTTATGTTGCAGACATATAAATACGCAAACAAGCACTACAAAAAATACCACAGCATCTGGAAGACAAAGTCTTTAGATAAAAGCATATCTATTACCTAAGCATAACACAAAAGTTGTGCTAATTAAACTATCACACATGTATTTGGGGATGATGGCAGGTCAACATATGGGTTGGGGTTTAATAGAAGAGGAGGGTTGGAGAAAGGGTCCTTGGACTGCTGAGGAAGATAGGTTGCTTATTGAGTATGTGAGGGTTCATGGTGAAGGCAGATGGAACTCTGTGGCCAGACTTGCAGGTATGTGACTCCACTCTAGTTATAATTAGTGTTTGAGCGCTCATGTGTTTATGTACATATATCCATCGAATAACTGAGAATAATAATAATATAATTTTTTTGGGTTGTATAATTATATAGGACTGAAAAGGAATGGAAAGAGCTGCAGGCTGAGGTGGGTAAATTATTTGAGGCCAGACCTTAAGAGGGGGCAAATTACTCCACATGAAGAGAGAATAATAGTAGACCTACATGCAAGATGGGGGAATAGGTAAATATTTGTTGTACTTTGTTTGCTTTGTTTTTAATATTTTAGCTAGTTTTTTTTTCTTGTGCTACATATATGAAGGCTTAATTTGTTTTTTGAAACAAACTCAGATGGTCAACTATTGCAAGGAGTTTGCCTGGAAGGACTGATAATGAGATCAAGAACTATTGGAGGACCCATTTTAAGAAAAAAGCGGTTAAAGGGGTTTCTGATGCCTCCGAGAAGGTGAAAACTCGCCTTTTAAGGAGGCAACAGTTTTACCAGCAGCAGCAACTCAATCAAGCAGATCTGAAGAAAATCATGGCCTTACTGGATGAAAATGACAACAATAAAATACCATCCTGCTGGCCTCAAGTGAAGCCGGATTCGGAGACTTCTACTACTACTGTATGCCCTCACACAGCTGATCAGGAGCAAGGATTCTTCAGCTCCATGCTGCACGGGAATGTGTATGTGCCTGAACCTGCCTCCACTAATGAGGAAAATTTTCTGTGGGATGGTTTGTGGAACTTGGATGATATCCATGGTAATTTTAACACAACTTCAGCTTGTGCAACAGGAAAAACTAGTTTGCACAGCAACTTGGTGGTTCCTTTTTGTTGAATTTGAGCAGACTTTGATTTTTCAAGTGTAACAAGTGGTGTGAATTTTGGGTTGTAAAATAATCATGCAATCCAAGGCTACCTACTTATTTACCATGCTTTTTGCTTTTATTTTAAAATAATGGCTCACCATTTTAACTATAGGAGAATTGTAATTATTTTGGTTGTTGCTTAACTTGTATTGGTACTTGCTAGACAAGCTATTGGAAATCAAAAACCGTTGCTTCAAGTATGAAGTTGCGTAATTTTCATAGAGGCTTCCCTTTGTCTCTTCCTCTTCTTTTATGTTTTCATCAGATAAAAGCTTCATCTTGTTTTGATCTTATATTCACAATAAGAGTTCGACTACTTCCATCATATTCCGTCATCCATTCCGAAATTCAAACCCCCTTTAGGACAAACAACTAACATTAGTATTTTTTAAATGTGTTGGTAGGATTTAAATTTAAGATCTCTTTCAACGAAATAAAGAGAAATATCGTTAGACTAACAGTTGGTTGGTATGATTCGTAAGTACTTAGAGAAACATGAAAGTACACACATGATTGCTTGAAATACTTCTTGACATTAGTATTTTCTTTTCTTGAACTTTACGGTAGTACTTAGCTTGCTCATATCAAGATTAGCTTAGTACATAGCTTACTCATATCAAGATTAGCTTTTAGTGACATCTTTGTCCTCACATTCTTTATGCCAGTTTAAATAAAGGATTATGGAACCAAATTTGCACACCAACGTGTGTGGAAGAGATGCACAAACTTAACTACCTGTAAAACAACAAATAACCGTAAGGCAACCTTGGGACTGATGGGGTGACAGTCAAAGGCTCTTTGACGATCAAGTTGGTAAGCAGTTTAAAACACAAGCAGTGGGCAAGAGAAAAAAGTATGCATGATTGTGTTATCAGAGATGAACCCAGAAGGGTGTACTTATATACCAATCACAAGAAAAACCTTTTTGGATATAAAATTCATACTAAACCGGCAGAATCCCAGATGATACCTAGAAGTAGATATTACTTCCTCTTAGAAGTGTAATGACCTAGTGCAGGCCCCAGATTGTAAGAATCTCAAGAATATAAGAAATCTAGCTGCTTCCATATTGGATTAGGTTTTCGTATCTTCCGGAATAAGAATGATTAATATCAGCGAAGTCGAACGAACGACTTCGCCCACTACTTATCCGTCAAAGGATGATGGTAAGCAGCTTAAAACTCAAGCAGTGGGCAAGAGAAAAAAGTATGCATGATTGTGTTATTAGAGATGAACCTAGAAGGGTGTACTTATACCAATCACAAGAGAAACCTTTTAGGATATAAAATTCATACTAGACTGGAAGAATCCCAAATGATATCTAGGAGTAGATATTGCTTCCTCTTAGGAGTGTAATTACCTAGCGCAGGCCAAATCCCCAGATTGTAAGAATCTCCAAGAATATAAGAAACCTAGCTGCTTCCATACTGGATCAGGTTTCCGTATCATCCGAAATAACAATGGTCAATCTTAGCGAAGTCGAACGAACTACTTCGCCCACTACTTATCCATCAAAGGATGATGGTAAGCAGTTTAAAACTCAAGCAGTGGGCAAGAGAAAAAAAAATATGCATGATTGTGTTATCAGAGATGAACCTAGAAGGGTGTACTTATATACCAATCACAAGAAAAACCTTTTTGGATATAAAATTCATACTAAACTGGAAAAATCCCAAATGATATCTAGGAGTAGATATTGCTTCCTCTTAGGAGTGTAATTACCTAGCGTAGGCCAAATCCACAGATTGTAAGAATCTCAAGAATATAAGAAACCTAGCTGCTTCTATATTGGATTAGGTTTTCATATCTTCCGGAATAAGAATGATTAATATCAGCGAAGTCGAACGAACGACTTCGCCCACTACTTATCCGTCAAAGGATGATGGTAAGCAGTTTAAAACTCAAGCAATGGGCAAGAGAAAAAAGTATGCATGATTGTGTTATTAGAGATGAACCTAGAAGGGTGTACTTATACCAATCACAAGAGAAACCTTTTAGGATATAAAATTCATACTAAACTGGAAAAATCCCAGATGATATCTAGGAGTAGATATTGCTTCCTCTTAGGAGTGTAATTACCTAGCGCAGGCCAAATCCCCAGATTGTAAGAATCTCCAAGAATATAAGAAACCTAGCTGCTTCCATACTGGATCAGGTTTCCGTATCATCCGGAATAACAATGGTCAATCTTAACGAAGTCGAACGAACGACTTCGCCCACTACTTATCCATCAAAGGATGATGGTAAGCAGTTTAAAACTCAAGCAGTGGGCAAGAGAAAAAAAGTATGCATGATTGTGTTATCAGAGATGAACCTAGAAGGGTGTACTTATATACCAATCACAAGAAAAACCTTTTTGGATATAAAATTCATACTAAACCGGAAAAGTCCCCAATGATATCTAGGAGTAGATATTGCTTCCTCTTAGGAGTCTAGCGTAGGCCAAATCCCCAGATTGTAAGAATCTCCAAGAATATAACAAACCTAGCTGCTTCTATACTGGATTAGGTTTTCGTATCTTCTGGAATAAGAATGGTCAATCTCAGGGAAGTTGAACGAACAACTTCGCCCACTACTTATCTGTCAAAGGATGATGGTAAGATGTTTAAAACTCAAGCGGTGGGCAAGAGAAAAAAGTATGCATGATTGTGTTATTAGAGATGAACCTAGAAGGGTGTACTTATATACCAATCACAAGAAAAACCATTTTGGATATAAAATTCATACTAAATCGGAAGAATCCCAGATGATATCTAGGAGTAGATATTGCTTCCTCTTAGGAGTGTAATTACCTAGCACATGCCAAATCCCTAGATTGTAAGAATCTCCAAGAATAGAAGAAACCTAGCTGCTTCCATACTGGATCAGGTTTCCGTATCTTCCAAAATAAGAATGGTCAATCTTAGCGAAGTCGAACGAATGACTTCGCCCACTACTTATCCATCAAAGGATGATGGTAAGTAGTTTACAACTCAAGCAGTGGGCAAGAGAAAAAAGTATGCATGATTGTGTTATCAGAGATGAACCTAGAAGGGTGTACTTATATACCAATCATAAGAGAAACCTTTTTGGATATAAAATTCATACTAAACCGGAAGAATCCCAGATGATAATCTAGGAGTAGATATTGCTTCCTCTTAGGAGTGTAATTACCTAGCGCAGGCCAAATCCCCAGATTGTAAGAATCTCCAAGAATATAAGAAACCTAGCTGCTTCCATACTGGATCAGGTTTCCGTATCATCCAGAATAACAATGGTCATTCTCAGCGAAGTCAAACGAACGACTTCGCCCACTACTTATCTATCAAAGGATGATGGTAAGCAGTTTAAAACTCAAGCAGTGGGTAAGAGAAAAAAAGTATGCATGATTGTATTATCAAAGATGAACCTAGAAGGGTGTACTTATATACCAATTACAAGAAAAACCTTTTTGGATGTAAAATTCATACTAAACTGGAAAAATCCCAAATGATATCTAGGAGTAGATATTGCTTCCTCTTAGGAGTGTAATTACCTAGCGTAGGCCAAATCCCCAGATTGTAAGAATCTCCAAGAATATAACAAACCTAGCTGCTTCTATACTGGATTAGGGTTTCGTATCTTCTGGAATAAGAATGGTCAATCTCAGGGAAGTCGAACGAACGAGTTCGCCCACTACTTATCTGTCAAAGGATGATGGTAAGAAGTTTAAAACTCAAGCAGTGGGCAAGAGAAAAAAGTGTGCATGATTGTGTTATTAGAGATGAACCTAGAAGGGTGTACTTATATACCAATCACAAGAAAAACCTTTTTGGATATAAAATTCATACTAAATCGGAAGAATCCCAGATGATATCTAGGAGTAGATATTGCTTCCTCTTAGGAGTGTAATTACCTAACACATGCCAAATCCCCAGATTGTAAGAATCTCCAAGAATATAAGAAACCTAGCTGCTTCCATACTGGATCAGGTTTCCGTATCTTCCAAATTAAGAATGGTCAATCTTAGCGAAGTTGAACGAATGACTTCGCCCACTACTTATCCATCAAAGGATGATGGTAAGCAGTTTAAAACTCAACAGTGGGCAAGAGAAAAAAGTATGCATGATTATGTTATCAGAGATGAACCTAGAAGGGTGTACTTATATACAGATCACAAGAGAAACCTTTTAGGATATAAAATTCATACTAAAACGGAAGAATCCCAGATGATATCTAGGAGTATATATTGCTTCCTCTTAGGAGTGTAATTACCTAGCACAGGCCAAATCCCCAGATTGTAAGAATCTCCAAGAATATAAGAAACCTAGCTGCTTCCATACTGGATCAGGTTTCCGTATCTTCCGGAATAAGAATGGTCTATCTTAACGAAGTTGAACGAACGATTTTGCCCACTACTTATCCGTGAAAGGATGAGCAGTTTAAAACTCAAGCAGTGGGCAAGAGAAAAAAGTATGCATGATTGTGTTATCAGAAATGAACCTAGAAGGGTGTACTTATGTACCGATCACAAGAGAAACCTTTTAAGATATAAAATTCATACTAAACCGGAAGAATCCCAGATGATATATAGGAGCAAATATTGCTTCCTCTTAGGAGTGTAATTACCTAGCGTAGGCCAAATCCCCAGATTGTAAGAATCTCCAAGAATATAAGAAACCTAGTTGCTTTCATACTAGATTAGGTTTCCGTATCTTCCAAAATAAGAATGTTCAATCTCAGTGAAGTTGAATGAACGAGTTTGCCCACTATTTATCCGTCAAAGGATGATGGTGGCATCACTGATCCGTCTGTACAGTTCGATAAGTCCATAGATCTTGAGTTCATGACCAGACTTCATAGGCATTAGTATTTCAATCTGCCCTACTCCAACCCTAGAAAATCATGGTCCCAACAATTGCTCGTAATTATGTATTTGAAATGGTTGTTCTGCTTAAAGATGGATAGTTATCCAAAGACCATGACTTATTCATCTATCTTGTTGAATGTATAGCAGCTATGAGCCCTACCATCATACCAGAAGAGCTGGGGGCTCGACCACCTATATTCTACATTTTAAAATCTTTTCCCAATGCTGAAACTAGATACCCAAAAATCAAAAAGTTGATTTTGGTACTAGTTGTTACGGCTCGAAAACCCAAGCTATACTTTTAGGTGCACACAGTTATCATCATGACGCAGTATCTGGCATAATCCAAATGCATGGCAGTAAA